GCCCTCCTTCTCCCCCACGGTCGTCCGATTTTATAGAGGAGAAAATAATATTGACTTTCACGTTCAGAGATCAGCTTTTTGCATCACAAGTATTTCGATATGGTACAACTTACTTTTAACTGCTTTGTACAGTATAATTTTTATAATAAAACCCCTACCTACTAACAAATAGAAAATAAGAATCCCCTTTATTTTAAACTATATTTAAAAACGTCTATATTTCTATTTTTGATTTTTACACGTTTTTGTCTATTAAATTACAATATATTGATGTACTCTATTTAGATACATAATATTTATGACATATAATGTGCTATAAGAAGACATATACAGTAAAATATGCATTATGAACTATATTGATTCCTATTATTTTGTAATACTTATATACCCACATGTATTAATTATACATCTCTAGACGGATATTTTGTTTATATTTATAATCTATATTTATATGTATTTATATAAAGATAGAAAATACTCTATAGCAAACAATATTATATCTAATGGTAATGGATAACATTATTTATGCTACATGTTTTATTTATATGTTTTCTGTTTAAAATTTAAGTTTTTGTTCCCATTTTCATATTTATGCATTTGTTTTGTTTCATTAGAGTTATAGTTAAAACTTTGCAGTAAAAATCCAATTCCTAAAAATAAAATGCCAAAACAAACAGCATCGAATTCCCAACAATACCGTCCAAAATATTCAGAAAGGCTCCACCAGCCAACCAACTACCAGCAAAAAAACCCGCACTACACTTCTTTCACTAGCAGTTCTTATCACATCACAAAAATGAAACAAACATTTTAAAAAAGACCTATAGAAACCCACAGAGCAGATCACAAAAACCACTAAAACAAAAAAAAAAAAAAAACGCCAACTAACTCACTATACTCCAAACCATACAACAGACCCCGAACGTTTCTTAAAAAAAAAAAAAAAAACAAAACTCTACCACTACACTAACTCATAAAGAGAACCCAATACTCTATAAAATGTACTAAAAAAACCCCCACCAAATAATTACCGATGTAACAAAATCGGAACCACGAAGAAACAAAAGATTCACCACCCAAATAAAACAACTACCTAAAAAGATCCACCATAGAAATACCCATGTTCCTAAAAATAAAACTAATAAAAAACAACAACCAAATACATCAAACTACAAAAAAACCCAAACATATCAACAACAACAAAATAATTATTCCTAACTCAATAAACCCATAGCGCCTCAAACCATCAAAACACAAATACCACTTAGAAATAAACACGTCGCCAAAAGAGAAATGTAACCATAAACAACAACTCCTAAATTCTCTGCAAGAATAAAACACACACGGCAATCAAATAAGCCAAATGAATAAAACCCCTATAATAAACAAGAATGCAATCATCAACATTAAAAAAAAAAAACCTCACTAAGTACAGGACACTACCTCAAGCCACCAAAACAATCACTACGCACTCACGCCAAAAAAAGCCTCCACAACCGAATTAAAAACCTACCCTCTACTTCATGCTACGACCCAGAAAAACCATTGTAAGCCTTTAAAAACACATCCTTTAAAAACATAAGAAACGATCAAAAAGAAATCCAACAACAATACTCAAGCCAAAAAACCCCTTGTCATCAGCGCCCGAAGCGAGAACCGTACCAACCAAAAAGTGCCCCACGGCCCTTCTCCCACACCAACTCCGGACAACAGAAAAGGATCCGATAAGTTCCCCAGAACCACCTCACAGCCACCCCGGGCAGGAACGCTGGAAAATGAGAAGCCGCGCTCCCGGCAGGAAAGCGGCTCCTCGGGCAGGCACAGGCGGCGCCGCGCCGGGAGACCCCCGCCCGCTCCCCCCGGCCCGGCGGGGCCGGCACCGGGCCCGGGGGGCCCCGGCGGCGCCCGAGCCCCGCGCCCGGAGCGGACGGAGCGGCGGCACCGGCCGGCACCGGCGCAGCGCCCGCGCCGCCTGCCCCGCCCGCCGGCCCGGCCAAAGCTCCCCTCGGCTCCGCACGGCTCGCACCGGCGCGGCTCCGGCAGTCCCGCGGCAGCCCCGCCGCGCCAAACTCCCCTCCCGCCTCGGCCATCCCCAGCCACTGCCAGCGGGGCTCCCGCGCCGGACCCTTCGCTGCCGGGCCAGGGGCAGAAGAAGCGCCCCAAATGCAGCGGCACAGCCCCATGCCCACCCTGCCAGCGCTGCCACAGCCGCGCCTCCCTTCCTTTGAAGCCCCGGAACTGACGCCACGCTCGGGCGCTCATTTCACCTCAACAAGGGCAAAGAAATGTGGGCTCCCCTTCCATCGCATCCCCTAGAAGAGCAGAAAAGAAGGGGCTTGCCTCAAATGATGGCAAAAGGCACAATTTTACCTCAATCCAAACCTTTAAAAGGCGGGACAACAGGGCAGCCCCCTCATTTCAACCTCAGGAGGACGAAATTCAATTCAAAAGGGAAAGGAGAAAAGTCCCCGCTACAAAGGCGCACCGGCTCACCTGTTTGGCCGCTGCTTCTCGGCACAATGGTTTGTCCCTCGGCTCCTCCTTCGAGCAATGCTCCACGTCCCCAAGTGCGTATCCAGGTGATCCCCTGGACCCTGTCCGAAGCACTCACCGTCCTTCCATGAGACAGCCCCGGGAGCCCCCCATAAACTCCTCTTCTCCAGCAGCTCCGTGCAAAAGCCAGCGGCACCAAACCCTCGCCCTAAAACAACCTCCCCCCGGCAGGAGCCGCCCCCTTCTCCTCATCCTCACAGCTCGCACCTGGGGCTACTCTGAGCCCTCATCATCCTCACAGCTCGCACCTGCCGCTGTTGCCGCCCTCCAAACAGCGTCTCTCCCTCTCCAGCACACACCCACTTTTCACAGACACAGATCCAACAGAAATCTGCTACGGGTGTTGGCTTTTCTTAATCCCTCTGGTTACACGATTAAAGCACATACGTGCATTGATGGTCATTGAGAGGAAGCTTTCCCCTGGAGAAAATAGTCCTGTTGGTAGCACACTTTGATACACCTTCGGAAAAAGCAGAATCGGCACCAACTCCTAAGACCCCTGCTGAGGAACCCGGCCCTCCCTGGGACACCCAAAGCAGCAGACCTCGGAAAAGGAGGGGGAAAGTCACAGTTGAAGTGGAAAAAGAGAACCTAAGTACAGCAACCTTTAAAAATGCCTGCACGGAGCAATGGTGGGAACCAGTCCCATTTCTTCTTTCCTTGCTTTCTGTGATGACATAAATAGGAAGGAAGAACACGTTAAACAAAAGGCAGAGCTAGGATTTTACAGGTCTTCGTTTTGGCAGGCTGCTTGACAAACGCCTCTGCCGGGACTGCGACGCCTTTTGGGGAACGGCAGAGAACGGAGGCAAAAGGTGCCGGAGAGCCCTTTCTGTTCCCTTCAGCCCCTGCAGCTGCCCCGGTGCTTTCGGGGCACTTGCTTGGTTCATTCATTCCTAGAGAAAAAGGCTAGGGCATGATTTTCAAAACTACTGCCCATCCCCAGTCAGAGTTTCCTACATTCCTGGGTACAAAGGAGTGGATAGACAGAGGGCTTCTTTCCAAATGAGTTTAGCGTTAGATTCCTATTCTTTACCAAGAGCTGTGAAAACGAAACACCTGCCAGGTTTTAGTATTCTACACACAGCCCTCCCTGGGAATTTTGGGGCAGCTTTGGGTCCCTCTGCGGGACGGCACCCAGCCTGACCCCCCCCTCATTCGCCACCCACCCGCTCCCCCACCGCAGTGTGCCTCCCTCTCCTAGGGACCTCGGGGTGCCCCAAATGACAGCAGAGCCCCGAGTCTTCAGCCCCTTTTCCTGACCCCCAAAGAAGGCACAGGACGAGTCCAAGCGCCCTGCACAGCAGCCCAGCACTCCCTTCCAGCCCTTTCCACACCTCCATCCCCCCCGAAAGGGACTCCGCCGCAAAAGGAAAGGGGGGGCAGCCCCCAGAAGGCTTGAAGCCCCCGCCCCGCCTCGCTGTCGCAGGCCAGGGGCAGAAATTGGGAGCGGCAGAGGCGGCGGGGACGCGGCACGGCCGGCACGGCGCAGAGCGGGGCCGCTCTCAGCGCGACGGTGGCGGAGCCGCAGGTCCGGCAGCGCCGGGGCGGTGTCCGAGCGGCGCGGGGGGATCCGCCGAGAGCCTCCGGCCCCGTGCGGGGACTCCCGCCAGGGCCGGGGGGCGCCGGGCTCCGGCCCTCGGGGCTTTATTCTCCGCGCCCCGAGCCCCGCGGCTGCGGGGGAAAGAAGCGAAGGGCGACGGGAAGAGAGGAGGGAGAGCGGGGCATGGAAAGGGTGGGGAGGGAGGTCGGGCTGCGGAGGAAAGCGGGCGGGGAAGGGAAAGGCCGGCAGGGGAGGAAGAGGGACGGTGGACAAAGGAAGGAGAGACGGGGAATGGAACGGACTAGCGGGGCAGGGACAGGACGGGAAGGAGCCGGGTTTGGGGGCAGAGATGGAAAAGGGGGAAAGAGAGATAACTGAGGGGAATACGGGGAGGAGGATGGAGCGGTAGAGAGAGGGACAGGACGCGGAGCCTCACAGCGCCCCGGCTCCGGCGCCCCGCCCTGCCCGGGATGCTGCGCTCGGCGGAGCTCGGCTCGGTCCGGCTGGACTCGGCTCCTCGGTCACTTTCGGCTCGCTTCGGGGCAGCTCGGCTATTACCGGCTGCATTCGGCTCGATTCGCCTCTTCAGCGCAGCTCGGCTCACCTCGGCTGAACTCGGAGCCGCTCGGCTCCTCGGGCCGTTTCGTCTATTTTCGGCTACGCTCGCCTATTCTCGCCTACGCCCGCCTCCATTCGCCCATTCCCCACACCTCGGCTCTCTTCTCCCGGCCTCGGCTCCCCTCGGCTCCCAGATTTCCTCAGGCCACCTCATTCCACGGCACACAAATTGCAGCCCCTAAAAGGCTTGCAGCTCTTTCAAGACACAGACTTGTAACTCAACTCTCGGCACAGAGCTGATGGCTCCTTTAGGACAAGGACAAGACATTTAAAAGCAATTCCCTCATTTTGCATCTCCTTTTTATTTAACCCCCCCAAAATCCCATACATATCACAAGGAATGTGCAGTTCTGGTTCCCCCAGGCCCCGTATGCTATTTGTACAAAGGACCTGGGCGCAGCACACAGTCGGGATTCAACTGAATAAAGCCCGGCTTCAATAATCAGAACAACTGACATTTGTTTACAAATTAGGTGCAGTTTTGTACGGTGCTTTGTACCCTCGGAGCCGAGTAGAGAAAAAAGAGCTTCAGCACTGGAACCTAAGTTTTAGCAGCCAAGTCATTTGTATCTTCTACCATAACATAAACCAAGCATAACTACAGTATTATTACAACGCTGCTCTTACGCTACTCAAGTTCTCCACAGTGGATTTAGGGTACAGCAGCACGTGCTTTACTCCCGACAAAAGCTGCTCAGGTGGGGGGAGCCAGGAAGCCAAGTCTCTCCACTTTTCTGAACACCATCCTCCAGGAAGGTACTGCTTCCCCTCTCCCAGGCTCCCTTCAGCAAAGTGGCAAATACAGAATCCGGTGCCACAGGAGGCTCTTGGCTTACCTCCTTGTGGTTTTCCAACTGTTTAAAGCCAAACAAAAAGCATAAGAGGAAAACAGTGATGAGTATGGAATAAAAATCTCTTCAGTCACCTTGCTTTTGAGATGAGCTCTGAACTGAAGCTCTGGGAGCACAAGCGTGCAGTCCTGCTAGAACAGAGCTGCCCAGCAGTGCTCCCAGGGGCTTCTGGAGTGTTCACACTGCTGAACTGAGAAAAACTCACCAAACCCAGCCCAGGGGCCTGTGATCCTCCACCCACCCGGGGGAACTCCGGGCACTGCAAACAGAGGCCACAGCACACACCAGGCTCTGCTGTGCCTGGTGAGGAGTCCTCTGTATGACCCCTGAGCCCTGGTATTGCCTCCCAAACACCACAAAGACCTCTTGTGTCATCAGAGAAAAGCCCTGGAGAAAACATGTGTCCCCAGCATCATCAAAATAATGCAGAATTACCTCCTCAATAAAAACGCTGTTTCTGATGGAAATGTAGCTTCTGCCGACTGCGAGGATTTTATAGGGATGCTGGCTCAAGAATTCAGTGACTTCAGGGATTCCATACCACAGGTTCCTGGCACTGCTCGGGCATCCAGAGTCTATAGTATCGGTTAAACCGGTAGAGCTGAGGATACTTAGCAACTTTCAGGGACTCGGGATCTTTGTCACAGAGCTGGAAGGTCAAGCAGAGATCAAGGGCTTCTCTCGGAGAGCGCAGGAGGTCAGTGAAAACAGCACCAAGGTACTCCACGAGGTCTGCTCCTAGAAAAGCCAAATAAATTAAACTACTGACAAGAGCACAGACACTGGGGGAACCTTCCTTACTTTGGGCCTTGGCAGCAGCCCGCAGAGCCTCACACAGAAAAGAACTGAATGAGATCAAAAAGTCTTTGTAGTGACCTAGACACGTGCTCCTGACCGCCCAGGTACCTGAAAAACCCTCCAGACCCCAGCTCTTGCTGAAGCAAATTATCCACCTTCACCGTTATCGTGGTTTGACACGGAAAAAGAACTTTTCCGGAAGGAAGAGGTCAATTTAGACATTGACCAATTAAAGGCAGACACGCCTCTGAGAACACAGAGGGGTTAAAAGCAGAATTCCCAGGAGAACTCGCCCTCTTTGGTTCCGGTCAGCGGTCAGTGCAGAATTTGCATTTTCCTATGCCCTTTTTACTATGGCAGAGGTTTCTTAAGTAAAAGGTTAAAATTCAACACATAATTTTACAAACTAAAATTTAAATGCTTAATTCATTTTGTTAACTCAAGTGAACTCCAAAAATCTCTATTTCAGTCCCCCCTTTTCTTAAAATATAGTAAATTCTTTTACTACAATGGTCTAGATCTAAATTCTGACCTACCATCACGACAGTTCTCCTTCAGCAGGATTCCTGAGTTCTAGAGAGTGAAGTCAGAACGACCACACATTTTAACATCCTTTAATTCTACATGAGTGTTAAAATAGACATCATTAAACTTACAGTAACTAAAATGAATAAAGCTATAATGGGATGACATAAAGTGGTCATGATCCCAGTTGCAGTTGATGACCATCCAAATAGTGCATCCCACTTTGAGTTTTGTTTTTTCACTAGGGTTAAATTAACTTGTTGTATGCTGTGTAGTTTGATTTTATTAACTTGAACATATTGTGGGATACAATTGGTGCTGACTATACAAAGTCACACCTAGGAACCTTGAAGTTGCAAATACAAAAATTGGACTGATTCTTAACAGATCAGCAAAAATCCCCACCCACTATGATAGATTCCTTTTGTCTGGGTAAATTTCAGTTTACCATAACCTGGTGTTATTCTCCAAGTGGCTTCTGGAACTTTCTTAACACGGCTGTGATGGATTCAAGCATTTTGTCCCTTAATCTTGATTGTAGTGAAACTAAGTAAGGAGCACTTGGTATGGTCCCTCCCATTGTGGTTCCAGGGCCTTCTCTGTAAGAGACTTAATACATACATAGTCTCCAGGTTGTACGTCATGTACTGGCGCATCAAGCCCTGTGCCCCGGGTTCCGGACACATATTTTTCAATTGCTCTAAGTTGTTTATTTAGAGTGATCAGGATAGGAGGTTAGTGATACGTCCTGGGCAGACATTCCCTTCCACACACCATATGGTCTCCCATAAAGCAATTCAAAGGGACTCAACTTTTCTTTAATCCTGGGTTTTGTTCAAATCCACAGTAGTGCTAATGGGAGGGATTGAGGCCATGGTAAATTAGCCTCTTCTCCCAATAGTACAATCTGTTGTTTGATCAAATGATTCATTTTCTCTACCTGACCACTTGATTGTGGGTTATATGGGGTGTGATGTTCCTAGTCTATGCCCAAGTATTAGCTAATTTGTTGCACTAATTTTGCGATAAAATGTGGTCCTCTACCTGAGGAGATTGTGGCTGGGACTCCAAAGCACCAAAGCATGGTATGATTTCCTGCACCAATACCTTAATTACCTCCCAAGCTTTAGAAGTCCTGGTGGGGGATACTTCTGGCCATCCTGAAAAAGTATCTGTTAGCACTAGTAAAAACTTATACACCCCTTTTCTTGGCAATTCTGTGAAATCGGTCTGCCATTGCTGTCCAGGCCCATGACCCTTCCCAGTCTGGCCAAGTGTTGGTTTGGGAATATTTCTGGGGTTGGTCTGGAGGCAAAGGTCACATTATCTAGTCACTTGGGTGATAGTGGCTCATAAATGTCTAGCTATGATCCTTTAATTTAGATATGTATATAGGGCATCAATTCCCCCAGTGTGTTTTCTGGTGTTCCTCCCTTATTAGGGACCATGATAAATAGGAGGGTATAACTAATTTTCCTTCTATGGTGGCCCATCCCCTTGGTTATAGTCTCCTTTTTGCTCATGGATCAAGTTTTTGTCTAATTTGTTTTATTTTGACTTACCTTCGAGGGAAATTTGTCCATCTGGAATCAGGGCCGCCTCAGTTATTACCTCAATTTTTGCTGCTTCTTTGGCTTCCCTATCCGCCAGCTCATTCCCTTCTAATCCCGAGTTTATCTTCTGATGTGCTTTAATGTGCATGATTGCTACTTTCTCTGGCAACTGGACTGCTTCTAAAAGTTGCAATATTACTGATGCATGTTTAATGTTTTTCTCTTGAGAGTTCAGCAGTCCTCTCTCTTTCTAAATGGCTCCATGAGTATGCACTACTCCAAATGCATACTTTGAGTCTGTTTATATGTTCAGTTCTTTCCCTTTTGCCAATTCTAAGGCCTGAATTAGAGTAACTATCTCGGCCTTTTGCACAGAGGTATTTGTTGTTAGGGGTCCAGATTCTATTACCTCCTTGCAGGTAGTAATTGCGTACCTGGCGTGCAGTTTTCCACTGATGACATAACTGCTTCCATCAGTAAATCAGACTTCTGCATTCTCGAGAGGGGTGTCCTTCAAGTCCGGGCAGCTGGAATAGGTGGCCTTGATGGTCTCCAGGCAGTCATGTTCCATTGGTTCCCCTTGGTTTTCACTGAGGAAGGAGGCTGGATTGACAGTGTTAGTCACCACTATCTCTACATCATCTTGCTCCAACCAGGATAGCTTGGTATCTCAGGAACCGTTGTGGGGAAAGCCAATGCCCGCCTTTTACCTCTAGCACTGCAGACACTGTGTGAGACACTAGCAGAGTCATTTTCTGGCCCAGGGTGAATTTGCGTGCCTCTTGGATATTCAGTACGACTGCTGCAACAACTCTGAGGCATTCAGGCCACCTTTTAGCTGCTGCATCCAATTGCTTAGAGAAATAAGCCACTGCTCTCTGGTATGGGCCGAGGTATTGTGCTAACATTCCGAAGGCGATTCCTTGATGCTTACTCACGTCTGGCAATCCCGGAGCTGGAGCTGACATGAGGGCTTTTTTCAGCTGGTTGAAAGCCTGCATAGCTTCTTTTGTCCATTGGAGGTCCCTGCTTTCAGTTCATATGAGGGCTTAACAATCAGTACACAGTTGTAGATCCATAACCTGCACCACCCTGTCATCCCCAGGAAAGTTCATAGTTCCTTTACAGTCTGAGGTTTTGGGGTCTGGCATATTGCCTCCTTCCAGCTTTAGCCCAGGGTACGTTGTCCAGCACTGACTTCGTAACCCAGATAAGTTATTTTCTGTTTTACTACTTGGGCCTTTTTCTTTGATACCCGGTACCCTTGGAGCCCCAGAAAGATCAAGACGCTTAACATCCAGACCACACATGCTTCTCTTGTCCATGTGGCTATCAGGATGTCATCTACGTACTATAATAGCTTCCCTTCCTCTGGAGGGGCTTCCCAGGTCTCTAATTCCTTTGTAAGTTGTTCTCCAAACAAAGTGGGTGAGTTTTTAAATCTTTGTGGGAATCTGGTCCATGTAAGTTGAGTTCTTCACCCACTTTTAGGATTTTCCCATTCAAATTCAAAAATTTTCTGGCTGGCTTCGTGGATAGGAAGACAAAAGAAAGCATCTTTTAAATCTAAAATGGTAAACCAAGTTAGTTTGGGTGTTAAGAAAATTAATAACATGTAGGGATCGGCCCCCACAGGATACAGATCCTTAGACTTTGTTCATGGCTCACAGATCGTGTACTAACCGGTACGATGCATCAGGTTTGCGAACTGGTAGGACAAGGGTATTAAAATCAGATTGACATTCTTTTAATAATCCTAGACGCCAAAAGTTCTCAATTACTGGGCTAATTCCTATCTTATCCTCCCTCCTCAAGGGACACTGTTGAACCCTGACAGGTTGCTTTCCCTCTTTTAGCCTGATCTGTATAGGGGGAGCATTTTTCACTCTCCCTGGTACATCAGAGGCCCATACCCCAGGGAATACCTGATTCATTATCTTTTCACTAATTTCAGTTTCCCTTGTGACTTCTCTAGTGGTTAATACCAAACTCAATATTTCTACATACTTTTGATCATTTACCTCCAGATCATTTTTAAATGTAATAGTTGCCTGTAATTGTCCCAGCAAATCTTTGCCCAAAAGTGGCTCAGGGGAATTGGGCACATATAGAAATTTGTGGATCCCCCACTGCTTTCCCAGTTTGTATTTTAGTGGCCTAAAGAAAAATGCCTTTTCAGTTTGGCCAGTTGCTTCTGTAACTATAGCATAATTATCCCCTAAGGGCATCAAGGCTGTATTTAGAACTGAGTACGTTGCCCCAGTATCAACTAGGAATTTTACTTTTTTCTCCATTTCCCCCAGCTTCAGATTTACAACCAGAGGGCCTGCTGGGGTAGTCTCCTCTGGTCCCCCCTATGATTCAGAGGAGGCTTTGATGCCACAGTCCCTTTGCCAATCAGGGTTATTTCAGAGGGAGAAGAACATATCACAATAAGAAACTTCCTCCCATTTCTCTTCCCTCCATAGATATTTGATTAAACTTTTTTTTTTGTGTGATTAAAAAATTAATTCTTATTCAAATATCCAAATAAAAATATTAATTAAAATGTATGATTAATCAAACAACCACATTAAAATATTAATGTATTAATTAATAATCAACAATACTTTATCTCATTACCTTTAATAATAAAATACTAATGTATTAATTAATAGATTATAATTAACCATTAACTTTTATTAATTTGCTGTTTGCCCGGTCCCACACAAATTTACGAACTCCAAAAGGTTCAATACAAACCACAGGGGAGAAAAGAAAAGAAAGAAAAAAAAAATTCTTTAGTTCTTCTTTTTAATACTAAGGCTGTTCCACTCTTTTATCCTTTCCCAATCCTCTTCAAACATGTCCCATGTTTCAGAGACTAGGTGGCTTTTTCCACATATGAAATTCACTATTTTACACCTTGCTTGTTCAACCCCTAGGTTATAGTATCTCAGTAATTCAGGGGTGCATGCACAACATGTAGATCTCCGTCTGTATGAAATATAATACCTCCTCTGACACTTCAAGCATTGGAGGAAAGCCCAAGCTGTGTGCCAGTCTGGCTTCCAGCAAAAAGTTGTCAATCCACACACAAAACAGGGGATTACCCCTTCTAGACCCCACCTCAAGGGGTTTCTGAGTGCCCGTTCAACTGGCAGCTGTTCCCAGTCAAAGGCTAGATAGCAACTTGTTGAACTTTGGTATATCCCTCCCAAGAACGCTCTGTCTCTTCCTCAGTCCTCCCATTCTATGACTACCAGGTCCCCTGATGGATGCAGAGA